AAAATTCTTCTGCCAATCCTTCATCACCTAAACGAAATAGGGTGAATACATCTCATACTACTGATTTACTGATAGTCTCGAAACAATGCTTAAATGCGAAAAATATAGTATGGCAGTCTCAATTATATTGCATCGGCTTCCTGTAGTGATGCGGGCTGATTTTATAAACCATAAATAAATCACTTTAAAGATATTTTCAGTAGAGTCTACACTTGGCTTTTAATACTTTTGGAAACCAAATTTGGCAAAGAAGAAACCGACAACGGTGAACGAGCTGTCACACTTTTAATACTCTGCAATCTAATTTTTTGACTCGTCTGCCCATTTCGCATATTTCACTTTGGAATTTGAGTCTCAAAGTGCTTCTTGCTTGATAAGTGTGGCATATCATTTCTGAGCGATGCACACACACGCCCGAAGCTATTGAAGTAACGGATACAGGCGATCTAACCTGACCTTCACTAAAATGATCTTTTCACAACTTGCGTCATCTCACGAATGGAGTGCCTGTGCATTTCGCCGATGGAATCAGGCCCTCTTGTTAAGTCATTGAGATAAGCATGATTACCATTGCCCTCTGGAACATTTTCAGAGAGATGCTACCTGCACTTGCACCTTTAGCACTTGTTAAGTGAGGAGATTCCAGAAGCGATTATGGCCCACTCGAAGGATCGGTTGAAGGATCTTGTTTCGCAAGCCTTATCGGCTGGTGAGCATGCTTCGTAGATGAGATTGGCGGCGACATGCAAATATGAGAGGACAGATGATCCGATGAATGACTAATTCCTTAATTTATGTCGGCCTCGGGCACGCTGCTTTACATGGCCCCTCATGTACTGCGTGCAACAGAACTTCAAGACAAGCCATGGCCTCAATTCGGAGCCTGTACGTTTCGCATCTCAACCAGGCATCGTCTAAGTCTGCCCAGAAGAGTCGACCTGTCGAAGAAGAGTTCGTCAAAGGCCAGCTCGTCTCACCGCTCCTGAGCAAGAATTCAGGAGTAAAAGTCAACCTTTCAATATGGGCATTGTGCATATGCAGAATGCGTGTGGCGTCCTCCGAGGCTTCTGTTTGCAACAAACCACTTTCATTGAAAGCAGTCGACATTAATTGACAACAAATGTCAAGTTCTGAATGGAATGGCCCTTGCTTTGCTCGTCGATCTACTCGCCTGCATAGACGTGGCTCTTCAGCATGTCGACAAAAAGTCAAGATTGAAGACAGACTCTGGCCAACAAACCCACTTCCGAGTCCCGTGGCAATGTCGCCTTCTGTTCGTCTGGCATCAGATCGTGGACCATGTACAGGAAGCGGCCTTCTGTCCGCACCACAGTCGGCTTCGTAGTCGGTCTCGACGGTTAACAGCATCAGCAAGCAACAAGTGGAGTCAATTAATCTGACCATTTTTCTCCGCCATCTTGTGGACGCTGCTCCACCTTCACGTCCAGGCACACTTTCGATATGATACAGCACAA